CCATGTAAGTCGACCAAACTTTCAACAACAGGCACTAGCAACAGTAACATTGACATGTTAAGAAATCTTTTGAGTGCTTACACGATTTTTTTCGGGGCGCACAACGGGGTTGTGATTTCGAATACTTACGGCTACAATCATGGCTAAGATACGATACTTCCTTGATTGTCCTTGATTACCTACATCGAACCTCGTAAATCGGTCGGAACGCGCTTGCCACATCCATCGAGTGATTTGACTCGACGAGATGCGAACACACCGCGCTCGTAATTGTCTTAATTGTTCCAGTCCTCAGCCAAGCCGGGTGGGTTCCCGAACGCGATCGGATAAGCACCTGGTCAATGTAGCCAGTTCCACAGGAGCAGGTGAATGAGTATACACAGAATGAGGGTGCGTCATGCCGTTGCGAGGTGGTTAGCAAGCATACTGAAACCAGTAAAACTAGCAATTTGCCGACATAGTCTGCAAGACACTTTTAACCTTGTAGAAGCTTTGAAGGACCTCAAACTCGAAGGCCAACAGATGATGTCATTTGACGTTACATCTTTGTTCACAACTGTGCCAATTAGTGAAACTATCAATCATATATGCGAATTTATTTAGGAGAACAAAAACGATGTGGGAATCTCATTGGATGAGCTAAAACAATTGTTATTCGTATGCACGCATAATGTACAGTTTCAATTCAATGGTGAATTATATCACCAAAATGATGGGGTTACAATGGGGTCACCTTTAAGACCACTATTCGCCGACACCTTTATGGCAAAACTTGAGAACCATCCCCTGGATCCTCATCAGACAATGATGAATCCTGTTCAGACGATAAGTTGATGATATATTATGTATAACAGATTCAAATGCGGACACTAATCGGTTGCCTAAAGAATTCAGTAATGTCCATCCTAACGTGAACTTTACTCTGAAAAAAGAAAAGGAAAAAAGTCTAGCGTTTCTAGACATACTTATGAAACGTCGCAGCGATAGCTCCATCCAGTTATGGGTGCATAGAAAAGCAACGTGGAATAGACATTATATCCATTTCCATAGTTTTGTCCCTCTTCAGAGGAAGAGAAACCTAATTCGCTCTTTAGTTCAAAGAGCGAAGAAAATATGCACGACAGATACCATCGACAGTGAGCTTCAGTTCTTACGTACTGATTTTGTCCAGAATGGCTACCCCGAACGATTTTTCAATAGAGCAATGCTAGAGCACGAGGAGCGATCAAAGAAAATAGAAGCAGCGAAGAAGTCGGTCTATGTGCATCTGCCGTTCAAGGGCGATACGGAGACGGAAATCTTTCAAAGAAAGCTCACAAATACAGTATGCAGAACACTTCACGCTGCACAATTGAAAGCTGTGTTCACATCGAAACCAATTATGTGTTTCTGACTGAAGGACAGAGTGCCAGATTCTGCAGCTTCATTCTGCGTATGCTCATTCGCCTGTTCCTGTGGAACTGGCTACATTGACCAGGTGCTTATCCGATCGCG